GTAACATTTCCCACCTGCTCATCGTAAACACCTCAGGCCTATACAATCCCAGTGAGGCACAGAAGGAAAGCACTGGAAGGAAAATGCTCAAACCTCACTCAGTCTGTCTAAATCACACTGTGAAGAGGGACACAGACACACCTGAGATGAAGTCCTCCCAGGAGCTGTACTGGGACAGGGTAGGGTATTTCCCGAAACCCACAGCTCTGACAATCAACACAAGGGAGCATACATGCTGTAGTGTAATTAACACCTTCATGGTCCTAGGAACATTGGGAGAATTTCAGAAAGATCTCCATTTTGCTTTCTTTGGATTTCAGGAGGTTTAGATAAATTCCTTCCTGTTTTTTGGGCTGTACAGAAAGCAAGTGTGGGGTTTGCATTTTGGGGGGTTTTAGAAAGTCACAGCCTCAGTAAAGTGATCCAGGCGATTCACACCTTGGTAGCCCAGCACTGCAGAGCCCCTATGTAGTAAAGCCTGTGAGTTATGCCATCTGCCGATGTGAAGCTTTGGGACTAACTGGCTGCTTGGTTCCCCGGGAACTAGAGAACCTGTTCCCTGAGCCCCCAGCAGAGGATGAGGAGATGACTCCATTACCCAGAGCATACCAGCAATCTGAGCAGTTGAGCCCCAGCCATTAATGAATTGGACCTGTGATGATACGAGAGGAGATGCTGAAATCAGGACACTGACCTTCAAAATCCTACCTTGAGATCATGCTGAAGGACAAATGAGTTTTGTCTCCAGTGTCATCGCATTGAATTTGTGGATATCAGATGTTTCTAGAACTAATGGTACAAAGAATAATAAAGAAATGAATATGCGTTTTGTGTCACTATCCAGTATACCACAGAACATGCAATTGCTATTTCCTGTCCTTTATCGTTTCTAATATGGAAGTGTTGGCTGCTGCCACAGTTTGGACAGCACTGGCTTTGGCAGTTGTAAGTGCCTCTCCGTACTCCTCCTTTGCTTCAGAGTAGACTTAAGGTCGGTTGATAAGTGAAAGAAAATAACTGGTACTTAGCTTGAGTCCTCTTTTACTGACCAGTAGTGCTAAATTATTTTTAGTTTTAAAGTTTCTTTTTCTTTATGTATTTATGTGTATGCTGTGTGAGTGTATACTATATGTGTTCAGTACCTGTGGTGGCCAGAAAAGAGTGATGGATTCCCTGGAGCTAGATTTGCAAGAGGTTGTGAGCTGCCCAACATAGGTGTTGGGAACCAAATTCAGATCCTCTGGAAGTACAATATGTACTCTTAACCACTGGGCCATCTCTCTAGCACAAATGCTGTTTCTGCATTTAGGATGTGGGGACTGCAGTGTTATGTGTCAGAGCTAAAAGAAGCTTAGCATACTGTCCGGGAAGCCTGCTCAGATGGAGATGTGGAAACCTTAACTGTGTGTTACAACACTGCCACCCAGGCTGGTACTGAGAAGATCCTGGATCTGGATGATGGTGGGCCAGCTGCAGAGGCCTGGGATGTCTGGAGGGTTGGGTAGGATAGGGGTGGGGTATCCCTCCTCCTAGGGCTTTCTTAGCCTTGGTTATTAGGGTGACTCTGAGATGTTCAGTCTTGGCTACTCATCCTGGGCCTAATAGTATATGTAGGGGCTGGGAGACGGCTCAGTTGGCAAAGAACTTACTGCACAAATATGAGGACTTGAGTGCAGATCCCCAATACCCACATAAAAAGAAGACAACATAGCCAGGCGTGGTGGCGCACACCTGTAGTCCCAGCACTTGGGAGGCAGAGGCAGGTGGATCTCTGTGAGTTCAAGGCCAGCCTGATCTACATAGTGAGTTCCAGGACAGCTGGGGCTACAGGGAGACCCTGCTTCAAAAGAACAAAAAAAAAAAAAAAAGGAGAGCAATAGCCCTGGGGGTTGGGGGACAGAGACAAGCTGATGGATCCTGGAGCTCACTGGTCAGCCAGCCAAGCCGAATCCCCAAGCTCCAGGTTTGGTGAGAGACCCTGTCTCAAAAATAAGGCGGGGAAGCAACTGAAGAAGACAGCTGATGTCAGTCGTGGGCCTCCACACACAGGTGTGAGTGTGTGTACAGCAAATGCATGGAAAATGGTATGAAAATATTAAAGACTGGTTTAGGAAAAGAGGTAGGTACCATCTAGAAGCAGGAGAGGGAGGCTTCAATTGTGCTGGGCCTGAGGTAGTGTGTTTCCTTGCATCCAAAGCTTCCTCAGACAGGGACTGAGGGGTTCAGCCTTCTGCCTGAGCCTTCAGGTGCCCAGGAAAGGGAATGAATAAACATGAACTTGATACATGTAATCCAGACTTCCTTTTCCCTGCAGGAATTATCACATTTCTTTTCACATTTTTAGTGTTTGTTTAAATTTTATTTTGTGTACATTTGTGGGTTCAACATGTTATGATATGTATATACACTAGAATGATTAAATCAGGCTAACTAGCATTTATCACCATGTGTGGCTAGGCGGTGAGACCATTTAAGGTGAATTCTTTTAGCAACAGAATGAGTCATATAGTACATTATTGATACAAGTAGCTGAGGGAGTCTTCCAGGAAAACGGAACTTGGTTTTTTTTTTTCTTTATTTTGGTGTGTGTGTGTGTGTGTGTGTGTGTGTGTGTATGTGTGTGTGTGTGTACGTGTGTACGTGTATGTGCATATGTGTACCACAGAAAATGTGTGGGAGGTCAGAGGACAACTTGAAGGAGTCAGTTTCCTCCTTTTACTGTGGGATCTAGGAGGCTGAACTCAGGTCATCAGGTTTGGCCACAGGCACCTGTAACCCTGAGTCATGTCACCCTCCCTGTAACCAAACCAAACTTAGCATTGGCCTATTCTGTCAGTTCCTGGTCGGACCTAGATTCCAGCTTCTAGTAACCAGCCCCTGTTCTCTGCTTCTTTGAGTTTGACTTCTTTCAAATCCACATGTAAGCAAGAACTTAGAGTGATTTTCTTCCTCCTCCTCCTCCTCTCTTTTGAATATGGTGTCTTGCTGTATAGCTCAGGCTGACCTTGAACTTACTATGTAGATCAGGGTGGCCTTGAACTTGCCACCACACCCAACCTCCTGAAATGTCTTCTGTGCCTGCTTCAATTCATTTAGAAGTATAACTCCTGGATTCACTGCCATGGTCACCACTGATGCCCCCCTTCCTTTTTTCTTGGCCTGACTGGCGTGGTACTATGTGCCTGGGCCACATTTTCCACACTCTGGCTCTCTGGTGACCTCTTGGGCTATCTGTATCTTGACAAACACAAACACTGCTGAAAGGAGAGGAATTGCATTTATTTTTGCTAAATGCTGATGTTGCTTTTTCTATGTTTTAGTCTGTGGGAAAGTCATGTTTCCCTTACCCTTAACACATATTTGTAAATACTGTGATGTTTTCTCTGTTAGTCTCATAGACATTTCTTTTATCTGTATATTATTATAGACAGACAAGCTCCTGGGAGACCAGATGCTAAAATCTTGTTTCTGTCTACCTGAATTTTCTGTGAAACAGATAAACTGTGTGTTTACAATACATGCAATATGCTTGTCTTAAGCTTTGTACCTTATCCCACAAAGCTGATTCTAATAAGATAGCAAAAGAACATGATTGTTGTTTCTTAAAGCATTTATTTTTATTATTTTTTATTTTTATTTATTTTCATTTTATGTGGATGAGTGTATTGCCTGCTTGTAGGTAGGTGCACCCATGTTTTGCAGTGCCCAGGGAAGTCAGAAGAGGGTGTTGGATTCCCTGGAATTGGAGTTAACAGATGGTTGTGAGCCAGCATGTAGGTTCTGGGAATCAAACCTGGGTCCTCTGCTAGAGCAGCCAGTGCTCTCAACTGCTGAGCCATCTCTTCAGCCTCCTATTTTTAATATTTCTAAATTGCATGTGAGTCTGTGGGTATGAGAATGTGAGTACAGGTACCTTTGGGTGGATCCCCCAGAGCTGAAGTCACAGGTGATTGTGAGCTCCTGGGCATGGGTGCTGGGAACCAAACCTAGGTCCTCTGCTAGAGCATTACAAGCTCTTAACCACTGAGGCATCTCTCAGGCTCCCAAATGTGGCTGTTTTAAAACAAAGCAGGAGTCAGGAAGATACAACCTGTGGCCACAAAGTGGCCCACTTTAAGAATAAAGTTTTATTGGTACACAGCCCTGCCTGTCCATTTCAGCATTGCTTATGGCTGCTTTCACATTACCACAGTTGAGCTGTGGTTGCTATAGAGAGTGCATTGCAAAGCTTCCATTGGTCACTTTCTGGCCTGGTACCAGAGAAATACCTGCTGTACCCTGTGTCAAAGGAGTGTTTAGAAATGGAGCTATTGTTTTTTCTTCACATTATTTTTTTCCAGTACTGGGAGATCAAGTGTCCCACCACTGAACTGTATTCCCAGCCCTGAATTATCGTTCTTAATAACAATGGAGTTGAATGATTCTGATTTTATCAAGGCAATTTTCTCTGAAATCTCATAAAAACATTATTCTGTTATAACTGATGACAATTTATAACCAGATTTGATGAGAGAAAGTGCGTACAGTGGGCTGGGTGATTGGGGTCCAATTTTTAAAGAATTAAAGGCCATTAAAATTCATTGTGCATTAATTTACTGATACAGAGAAGACAGCTAATGAGGCAGAGGTAAAAAATGACAGTGTCCGTGCCTGTGGTTCTCTGCTGAATGGGCTGCTTACAGTATTCAGCTGCATTACCTTTCCAGATAGACTTTATAATAATTGCAAATTTTAATTAATTTCACGTTAAAGTATCAATCTATCTGTGATTTCCCTTCCTACAGATCAGTAGGGCTAAGCCAGTCATCAGAAGACGCCTCATATTTCTTGAGTTTAACTGCTGTGATTCAGCATATTATAATGATTAGTTAATCATACTGTTTCTTGGTCACAGAGTTTGAGCAATTAAACACAGGGACTTCGTTCTACCCCATAGAGGAGCAATTTAAATATACATTATTGGATTTGTGCTTACCTTTTTTTTTTTCTTTCCCCAACAGGCTTGTGGAAGAGGGCAAACTGGTCCCACTCATTTTTGAAGTTATTTTGGTAAGAATGGAAATACTTTTTTGAAATTGATGTGAAAATTTCAGTCTCTGAAGGTTTTGGTCCAATTGTATGGTTGGCTTTTTAGCCCAGACTCTGCCCCTAAAGACTGTATGTTTTTTGTTCTGATTAGAGCTGTGCTTTCTGTAAAGGGGAGAAACAAGAAGGACTGTAGTCTCGAGCCCTGCCCTTTGGAAATCCTTTGCATTTCATTTCTGTTTAATTAAGCAGTGGTGGGGTTTTATATTTTATTTTTATTTTGTGAGTGTGTGTTTTACCTGTATGTTTGTCAGTGCACCATATCATCCAATGCCCATGGAGGTCAGAAGAGCCCCTGGAATTGGAGTTATGAATGGTTGTTAGCTGCTGTGTGGATGCTGGGAACTGAACCTGGGTCCTCTGCAGGAGCTACCAGTGCTCTTAACCTTTGAGCCAGCTCTCTAGACCCAAGTAATATGTGGTTTTTATTCTTTCCTTCTCTCCCTTCATTCTTCCCTCCCTTTCTTCCTTCTTCTCTCTCTTCCTCCCTTCCTTTCTTCTGCCTTTCTTTCTGTCTTTTTCAAGAGTCTTACTCTGTAGCCCAGGCTGGTCTCCAGCTGTGATCCTCTTGCCTCAACCTCCTGAGTACCAGGATTATAGGTATGTTCCTTGATGCCCACCTAATATGTGTCTTCTTACTTGGAAAAATCCCTGGTTTGAGGTTGGCTTGTGGGAGGGCAGGATTATTACTGGGCACTTTGTATGAATTGTCTCGTGTTCAGCAGGCCCCTTGCTGGCCACCAGATCAGCCTGCCATCAAGCAGTTCCCACAGTTGTCTTCAGAGCTCCAGAAACTTAGCTTCCTTGAGCTGTTTTTAATTCCAACAACAACAAAGAAATGCATCTTAAATGAGCACTACCCACCCATTAAGTAAAACCCTTCCTGTGTCTCCTATGTGAGGAGAATAAAATGGAGCCCAGAGTCGGCTTTCTTTGCCTCTGAAAAATCCCTCTTTAGAACCATCTCTAGATCTGTGAATTAGGCTGAAAATTTGAGTTGGTGCTCATAGCAAAGGAGGGTCCTTGACTAAGAACAAGTTTTTGTGCCTGTGTGTGTATCCCCCTTTACCAAGACCTGTAGTTCAGTGATGGCAAGATACAATGGCAGGTTTGTGTCCCTGCCCCAGACCAACACGACCCACCTTGGTTATCAGTGCTTTAGCTATGGTGGTAGAATTCTCCTAACACGGAGCATAAGCATCCCTCAGTCATTTTAATGTGTCTGTAAACTGTGTCTGCTATTGTCCCTGCGTGAAAAAACAAAAGCAAACAAAACAAACTCCTCTTTTCTTGGATTTAGGTCACCCTATCTTGTTCATGGTTGGTTGGTTGGTTGGTTCATGGCTAAGTGGTTTCCTTGAGTTCTGTGTTAGTTACTTTTCTGTTGCTGTGATAAAACACCATGACCAAGGCAACTTACAAAAGGAAGAATTTGTTGGACTTAGAGCTCCAAAGCGAGCATCCATAATGGGTGGCAAGGCAAGGCCTGAGGCAGCCAGAGGAGGAAGCTGAGAACTCACATCTTCAAGAACATGTAGGAAGCAGAGACAGGGCAAACAACTGGAAGTGGGCCATGGTGTGAACTCTCAAATACTGTCCCAGTGGCATTCTACTTCCAGCAAGCCTGCACCTCCTAAAGGCTGACCCTCCCCTCAACAGCACCACCAACTGGGGCCCAAGTCTTCAAATACTTGAACCTATGGGGGACATTTCTCACTCAAACCACCACAAGTGTATTAGTTCATTCATGGTACAAAAGAAGAATAGCTTACACTGGATAACCTACAAAGGACAGAAATGTATTTCTCACAGGTTTGAAGGCTGGGAAGTCTGAGATTAAAGTGCCCTTACAGGGCCTTGCTGTATCCTCATGGGACACCAAGTGGAAGGACTGGGAGCAGACTATGAGAAGTGGCCTACTTGGAGGGAGGGATGCTCCAGGTCTCCTGTTATTGACCCCACCTCCAAGTCCTGTCACTCACACTTGGGCTCTGGGAGACACATTCAGTACAACACTGAGGTGTTTGCACTGGGTGTGGAGTAGAGATGGACGTAGGAAGTATAATCCAAGCACAGCTCCAGCTATCAGATGCCGAGAGCTCTGTGCTGAGTGGACTGTTGGAGGCTGGAGGACTTGCACAGAATACTGGAGGGGGTTTAGAGGGAGCAGAGGAGAACAGAGAAAAGGGAGAGGATGACATGCTGTTAGAGCTGCCTATGGGGGATTTTACAGGTTGGTACACGTGTCTCTTGTGATGGTTAATCTTGATTATCAACTTGATTGGATTGAGATTACTGAGGGATTATATTTGGGTGTTTCTGTGAAGGCATTAACATAGTCTATTCTGTCATGAGGGCTGTTACCTAATGGACAGCATAATATATTGATGGATTCAGAACTTGAAGACTATTTGGAGGTGGTGGAACTGTGGAAGGTGGAGCCTGGCTGGAGGAAGCAGTGGGGGTTGTATCTTGGCCTGGCCCATTTCCTGTTGTGGCTCTGCTCTGTGTTTTTTCAAGCATGATTGCAGCAGTTTCAGCAGACATGCCCCTTCCATAGGCTGAAACCTCTGAAACCAGGTGCAAAGCATATCTCTCTTCATGGCTGGCTTCCTCAAGTATTGTGTCACAATGAAAACTCAGTTTGCGGGGTGGAGAAATGGCTCAGTGATTAAGAGCACAGACTATTTTTACAGAGGACCTGGGTTGAGTTCCCAGCACCCAGGTGGCAGCTAACAACTGTCCATAACTCCAGTTCCAGGGGATTCTTCTGATCTCCGTGGGCATTACACAACACGGGTGCAAGTACACCCATGCAGGCAGTATGCTAGGCCTATACTAATTTGGTCAGAGAGACATAAAGGACAGTTTTTGCTCCATGTCCTCCTAGGTCGACTAGTTCCAAGGGACCATGAGCATTTCCTAAAATGTCCTATAATTGTGGTGGGTCACCTGTCCTCTTGATCAAGGAGGCTGAGGAGACCCCACGAGATGGACATGAACCAGTGTCCAGTCTACAAAGAGGAGGGTCAACACAGAGGAATCATTTCCTCCATGCTTCCAAGTGCATCCATCCATGGTCGAGTAGGACCTTTGACTTATCTTCACATAGGCTGAACTGGTAAAAGAAAGGAGCCAGGGGCTCCTCCTAAGCCCATGTGGCCCCTGAGGAACAGATCCTCAAATGACCTTAAGAGTAAAAAGAATTGGTTTATCTGGGCCAACTGTATGGCCTTAAACACCCAAAAGGAAAGTATAACCAAAGATTAAAGGGGCCAGTATAATTTTTAAGAGTCCATATGTATAGCTAAAGGCTACATAACAAGCAACAATGCCAGATAGGAGATACCTTCTTTTAAGTTGTTAGCCAGGGTGGCCCAAGGGACTCCCAGATGGTAACCTAGCATAGAACTGGAAAAATGAACAGCAGACCCCAATCTTATCTAAAGGAATATTGACAACTGATTGCTGCTAGATGAGGAACAGCTGACCCTCCTGAAACAAAGACCTCTAGATAGGCTGACTAGATTCACCAGAGGGACAAGTAGTGGGGAATGGCCGGGGGTGCCAACAACACAGTGGACAGTAGCAGGGATAACAGAGTATAAGGGCTCTAGTGCGGGGAGGGAGGCTTTGGGAGGGTGCCATCTGGGAAGTGGGTGTATAGTTGAATAAGATGGTTTGGGATGTTCTGTGTGATATACACATACAGAAAGAAAATCAACAAATTTTTAAAAATGTATTATATTTGAGGAGGAAGTATAAAAGTTTATGTCATTTTAATTAGTAGAAGTGATGAACATTACCAATGAAATCTACCTGATGACTTTATAGTCATGGATCCGAGTGCAAACGATTATGACTAGTAATAATCAGATACATACAGATATCAGATATATACAGATAAGAGACGCATGCGCCAACATCTCAGTGTTAGCAAAAACAATGAATCTTTCTGTAAGAAACAGTATATTTTTAGAATGAAATGGAGATCTCTTTTGAGGGTTAAAAACTCAATTTTATGTCTTACAGGGCTTATACTGAGTTCAATATTATATAACTGTATTGATTTAACAGCGAACCTAGAAATTTTATAGCCACTTTTGAAGGAGCTGTGTCTCTGCTCTGGAAACTGTTATTGGGCATGTTAAAGCTGTAATGATATGCTTCTTCTCAAAAAAATTAAAGACAATATGTAAAAAAGTAAATAAAAATAATAGTAAATAAAATTTTTAAAAAGAGGAAAAAAAAAGAAAACTGAGTTTGCTCATTTTGGGGCACAGTCTAAGAACCAAAGCTGTCCCAAAGCGCCCTGTTTAGCAGGTGTTTGAAAAGAAAGTGGTCATCATTCTAGAGCTAGACTGGACCTTCGTGGACAGATATGGCTCATCTTGCTGTGATGAGGGCATTTCTGGCCTGCTGTGCTCAGTTCAGTTCCTTTTGTGACTGATAAAACCTTCTCGTTGTACGTGAAACACCCCAGAAAGAACCCATGTGTTTGTCTGCTATATGGGAAAAGCTTCACTCATTCCAATTCCATTTGAGCACGTGGGAGCTCTCCCCTGGGAGAGTCTGTTACCCAGCAGTAAGGGAGGGCCTCACCAGCAGCCTTACTAGAAAATATGGAAGTATGCAGTGGAGAGAGCCACGCAGACGGAATGTGTGTGGGATACCTCTTGTCACCTTGGTCCACCTCTCAGTGGAAGAGGTGTGCAAAAGCCTTCAGTTGGCACATGTGGAAGAATGACAGTCTGGACTAAATGTGGGAACGTGAAAAATAAAGTTGTCTATTTAAAAAATTTTGTCACTTAATTTTTTTCATTATCCCTTGAATTTTATTTTTATTTTTTCTTGGGAGAATATTAAATTCAATTTCTCCCTTTGCTACCTTTTTCTTTTTTTGTCTTTAAAAATTTTAATTTTTTTGAGAATTTCATGCATGTTCTGTCCTTTCACTGTCATCT